CGATGCCACATTACCTGGATTGGAGTTTGGATTATCCGATCCAATGTTATAACTGACAATTCCCGTTGAAGGAGTTACCGTGGCGTAATTTTTTGTTTGTGCATACGATCGTGTACCAAATAGCGTTATAGCTAATATACTAACGAGAAGACAGAGGTATTTTTTTAAGATTCGGGGAGTAGACGTATATTTCATACCGGCAGTTTTAGAGGTTAACTTTAATACTTTCCGACAATTTTAAGTAAAGGACGTCTCTAATCGGGTGTTCAAATCGTTCATTTGAAATGACCAGAATGAACGGGTCATTCTATTCATTTTGTTCAATTTTTCATTTCTAATACAGAAAATTTTGAACATGCGCTTTTAAACGCACTCTAAAAGCATTTATCTGCTTAAAGGATAATTTGTTTCTTTTTTTATTTGAATCCTTTCTGTTCATTTATCACGTATATGTGTATATTCGGTTACTATTGGTGTCTAACTAGCTTTTTAACTAAACTCGAATAATACAATAGAAAAAAACGGATCTATGGAATACAGTCACCGGCTGAACGAACTTAAAAGCTTGATTCTCTTAAAATGTGGTATTCGATTTATTACGCCTGCTGACTGTAAGAGAATCTCTATTGAGATTAGTAAGCACCTTAACAAGAACGTAAGTGAAACGACTATTAAAAGGTTATTCGGTTTCGCTGTTGTTAAACATAAGTTTTCTACGTTCACCCTGACCACTCTCGCTGAATACGTTGACATTGCATCAGTTGATATAATCGATATTTCACAACCAGTCCCTCCTACAGATGAATGGAAAAATCTTAAAGATAAAGCTGACAAGATTACCCAGTTCACTTTAAAAACGATAAGGAACAGATCTGGCATTCCTTATGACATTACAATCAGCCGAAAATTTGCCGAGTATGATTTTGATGAGTTCTATGCTGGAGACTATATTTTTACCAGCGTAATTTCGCAACCCGGCTATGGGAAGACTATTTTATTGAGCCACTTAGCAGAAGACCTGTTTTATAAGCAGGATGCTGCGTATAAAGATTCCACCATATTATTTGTTCAGGCCTATAACTTCTTTAGTAAGGATCATGGAGATCTTAATATGGAAGATCTGCTCAAGTTGCAGCTGCAATTAAACCCTGCTGAAAATACATTGGAATATATTAATAATATTCAGGCTGCACATGGTGGTAAGTTTATTATCATGTTAGATGGATTTGCAGAACTCATTTTAAACAAAGAAGATAAGAATCGCTTATTTGATAATATCATCAACATGATCTGCTCACTGGAAGATTACAAGAATATCAAGTTAATGATGAGCCTGCGTTCTACCACCTGGATGAGATTTTATGAACGCATCCGACATTCTTCTTTCCTGAAATCGAAATGGTTCCCGGGGAATTACTTTAATCTCCATGAATTGTCCAATGTACCTCCGCTTACTGAGAAAGAGGTAGACGTGATCATTTCTAAAATTAATTACCTGGACAATAAAGAAATCAATCCAAGACTTAAGGCTCATCTGAAATTCCCATTGCATATCCAGCTATATTATCAGCTGAAAGAAGAAGATCCTGATTTTAATTATTATACAAACATTACTTTTTATGAGCTGGTTTCCCGTTTTATTCAGGAAAAGATTTACCGCTCAAATTATTATACAGAAAAAATACTCTTCCTGAAAAAAATCATTCAGCTTACTGAATATGGAAAACAAACCAATGCGGTAGAAAAAGACAGTTTGCTCTCTGAGCTTTCTGCTTTCAGGAACGCTTATATGGAATTGCTTGCAGATGGCATCCTGATGGAAGAGAAGCGGACAGAAAATGCACACCCAAAAGAGTATGTACGCTTTCTGCATCCGCATATGTTCGAATATTTCCTCTTTGTCGAGATTCTGGAAAAATTCCATCTGCAGGTGAACATGGAATTCTTCACTTATATCAATACGGAATATGAGGCTAACCAGGTCCGCTTCCAGCTTTTACAGTGGACTACACGCTTCCTGATCAAAACAGGTAATTTCCATGAGCTGAAATCTGTTTTCAAACTCAACCTGAATAGCTTCGAGACTAATTATCTGATCCTGTTTATGGCAGAAGAGATAAAATACAGATCGAAGTTTAATCCCGACATTATCAGAGTACTGGACGAAAATCAGTTCCATGAGATCATCATCTCGAAACTCATTAATTTTGATTTTATTGATTCCTGCTATAAGGAGGCTGTAACAGCCTTAATTGACATCGCAAGTAATGATGATCATTTACTGGTCTATAATTCGATACTGGGCGTTCTTGAAGTCATTAAGCTGGATAAAGAAGCGATCAAGGCAAGAATAAAAAACATCAGTGCGCTGAATGCCGCCGACTGGATGGTCAGCCCGGTAGAAGCACTGCAAATTATTTATGCAAAGATTAATGCGGAGCAACCTGCTGAAAGGAAGCTGCTGGGCAATATTGAGCGTTTAAGAAATGGAGATAACCCTTTTGACATCAGGCCTGAGCATCATATTGATCCCAGGCAAGGTATTTCATACCTCCTGATTCTATACGTGAACCTGTTTACTGGTGATGCCACTTCCGGCCACGAAGTAATTTCTAATATTGTTAAACTTCATCCGAGGGAATTTGCAAAAAGAACTACTTTCACGATTTATATACTTGCTGTTTATGGAATGTATAGTTCCAGAAGTGCACCAGGAAAGAAAACAGATCAGATTGAGAATATCATAGTTTATTTATCGAACAGGAACTGTACTAATTTTGCCAAGTATCAGGAAGTGATTTTACTGATGTTCCAGGCTCAGCAATATTACAATAGAAAAGAATATGAAATTGCGATTCACCATACCAAGGAATGCTTATTGCTTTTCAGAAGAAATAACGTGCTCTTGAACGCCATGTTCATGTTCAATCTGCTGATTAATATCTATACTGATCTGAAAGAGTACGACCTGGTCAATGAATACAAATACGAGAAGCTTTGTCTGCTTGATGAACATCAGGTTTCAAGACAATTGTTTTAACCGCGCATAAAAAAACGGGTCTGCTTCTATAGAGGCAGGCCCGTTTTTTATACAAGGAAATGCTGGTTTCTATTTGTAATCAGCAGCTAATTTCAAAGCATTATAAGCATTGACAATTCCACCTGAAATACAAATATCTGCAAAAGGAACCGATTTCGGGGTTTCTCCTTCAGCACCTTCTATATCGACATTGTGGTTAACTTTCACAACTGACTTCATAATGATATCCTTAACCTGTACAGCAGTCAGTTTAGGATAATATTCTCTGATTAATGAAGCAACACCTGCAACCACAGGAGCAGCCATACTTGTACCGTTATAGGCTTCATATTTCGATCCAGGTACTGTAGAATAGATTTTCACACCTGGTGCAAATACATCGACTGTTGTTTTTCCATAGTTAGAAAAATCTGCCTTCAAAGTTTTATCATCTGCAGATCCCGAAGCACCTACCACAATATAAGCTTCTGCTGTTCCACCACCTTCATATCTGCGGTCCGGAAAGCTTTTCTCTACATCAAGATCTTTATTGTCATTACCAGCTGCCTGAATAATCAGTACATCTTTAGACATCGCATATTTAACGGCTTCATCAACGGCATTCTTATCCCATGAATAAGCTTTACCAAAACTCATATTCAAAACCTTTGCCCCATTGGAAACTGCGTAACGGATTGCATTGGCAACATCTTTATCGCGCTCATCGCCATCTGGTACACTACGGACCCCCATAATCTGAACATTATCTGCTACTCCTTTAATGCCAATATTGTTGGTACGGTTTGCAGCTATAATTCCAGATACATGCGTTCCGTGACTTGCATCAGGACCCGTAACGTCATTACTTCCATAATTTCTTTGTTTGCTGTCTGCGTAGTTATCTCCTACAAATTCAGCTCTGGGATCAAAGTCAAGGTTTAAATTATAAGCCAGTTGATCCTGATAATGATCCAGGCCTTTCACGATCTGTGTTTTGTAGAAATCTTCATAAGTTGAATTCTGTAATTGAGAAACCATAATGTTTTTCAAACGGCCTTCCATATCAGATGAAGCTTTATAGTTTTGGAAATCAGCTAAAGTTGGATTTTCTTTGCCCATATTTTTCACCATTGCATCCAGCGCGATTTTTAAACCGCCAATATTTGCGACAGCATTTTTAGCTTCATTGGTTTGCTTGTCAAAATCAGCTTGTTCTTTTTGATATTGTTCAAATGCTGATTTGTCGGCAGGTTTAACCGTTTCGGCAGTTACGCCTTCAAACCTGGCCTTGTCTCTGCGCAGTACACGCGTAAGCTCCAATGCTTCGTGGCTTACAGAACCTTTCGCTGAACCAATAAAGTTCCAGCCATTTACATCATCTATATATCCGTTTTTATCGTCGTCTTTTCCATTTCCGGCAATTTCTTTTTTATTTACCCAGATTACACTTAGTAAATCTTCATGTTTAATGTCAACCCCACCATCCAGCACACCCACAATCACTGGTGTCGATTTTTTACCTTTTAGTAATTCCAGGTATGCTTTTTCAGTACTTATACCAAATACAGAATCTTTCTTAAAATCAAGATTATGCCAGTTATCTTTTTGGACCTGAGCAAAAGAGCTGAATCCTAACCCAGCTATAAGTGCGGCACTGAATATTCCGCGCAATACAACTTTATTTTTTAATGTGTTCATATGTGTTAATTAAATTATACTCTAAACGCTATTATTGTTATTTAGTTATGCTCCAGCTATCAAATTTGATGAGCTGCGGGCTTTACCCCTGGGTTCAAAGGTAATGGTTCGCGCCTGATTCTAAATTAAAAAAGCCAGGAATTTCTCCTGGCTTTTCTAGTATAAACTTATAAGATTTTTATTTAACTATTTATCCTTCAGAAAGGGTATAGTAGAAGTCTCTGATTCTGGCAAAGGATGGATGCAGGGAAACTACATCGCCAAAAACTAATAAGGCAGGTGAAGAAATTTTATGATCTTCAACCAGCTCTGCAATAGTTTCCACAACGCCTACAATTGTTTTCTCATTATGTGCAGACCCGTTTTCAATAACTGCAACAGGTAATCTATCTTTTCCTTCAGCCATAAAAATAGCAGCAATCTCCCTGATTCTCTCGATTCCCATTAAAACAACAACAGTTGCTTTAGACTGTGCTGCTCCTTTCAGATCTGAAGAAATTTCCCCTTTCGAATTGACTCCGGACAATACCCAGAAGCTTTCGCTCATATTCCCATAAATCATTGGGATCTTATGCAAACCGGGAACACCAATTGCACTGGAGATACCTGGTACAATTTCAGTTTGAATACTATAAGATTCTGCGAAATTAATTTCTTCGAAACCTTTGGCAAATACAAAAGGATCGCCGCTTTTAAGCCTTACTACATGGCCGTAATTCAAAGCATAATCAATCATCAATTTATTTACAGCATCTTGTGAGAAGGATTCCCCATCAGATTGACTTCCTACAAAGATTTTGATCGCGTGTTCCGGTGCATGATTCAGCAAAGCACCATTCACTAAGGCATCATACAAAACAACATCTGCAGTGTTGAGCGCTTTTACTCCTTTTAAACTTATTAAATCAGGATCTCCGGGGCCGGCTCCTACTAAAGTGATACGGGGTTCCTGAATGCTGTTTTTTATTTTATTTAAAATCATAACCGGCTATTTTAAAGATTTATATACTTGCTGATAAACAAATATAATAAAGTCTATTTAAATAGTCGTCTTTTTTTATAATAAATTTAAAACATCATTTC